CTCTAACTAAATGCAGCTCCCTCATCCTCCTTGAAATCCTGACCATTACTTCCCCATCCACTCTAAAAAGTAACTATGATGGCTATTCTTGTTTGTCAACTTGACTATATCTAGAATGAACTAAAACCCAAGTGACTTGGCACACCTGTGAGGAATTTTTTTCTTAATTGAATCATTTGTAGTTGGAAGACCCACTAATCTGGATCTTTGAGGAGGGAAGATCTGCCTTTAATCAGGGCCACACCTTCTGCTGGCAGCCTGTATAAAGGACAGGGAAGTCGAAGAAGCTCAGAAGCTCGCTCTCCCCCCCCTTCCTCCCTGCCCCCTGCCTGCTTGCTCTCACTAACCCGACTCTGTACTTGCACAAAGATAACCATGGAAATGTCGTAAGTTTTCATTATCTTTTTGTTCTTCACTCACATGATGTTTTCTGTTTTTATTTTTCTTTTTTTCATTGTCTTTCATTGTTCTTCATTCACATGACCCATAAATTTTGGTGTGGAGCTACATATAAATCGTGGTAAGGAGGTAAATTCACAAAAATGAAATCCACGAATGAGGAGGCTCTTGCAGACTTCTTGGGTCCTTTGAGGATGTGTGTTTAGGAGGTGGGAAGGGAATGTATTATGAAGAGTAATTCTGTTCTCTGCTCAAAGTTTCTTGTGTCCATACCTGAGCTAAGCACGTTCTATTTACTGGTGCAGCTTACAGCCTAGGAAAATGGAAACCCACAGACTTTTCTCAGTGTATCCTATTTTCTAAATCAGGAACAGTGAGATGAACCCAACTGAAGATGGGAAGGGACCAGCGGGAACCAGAATTACCACATTCTCTCAATGCTTCCAGATGTAAAGGGCCATGGACTGCTGGAATACTATTTCCTGCCCAGCCCCAGGGTCCAGTCTGTTTGCAGCCCTGCCCCTGCATTTTCTTGCTGCTTGGCCAGGAGGGAAATGTTCAGAAGCACTAAGAAATCAGCCACAAGAATTCAGGAACTGTGTGTGGCCCTAAGGTGGGCTCGAAGCACAGAAGTACAGATAGGAGCTCTGCTCAGCAGAAGTCTTTACCTCTGTTTGCCTTTGTTTGTGTGTGAAACCTGCTTTAGGGAGTTTGGAAGGATTTAGAATTGCATACAAGTCCTCCAGTGAATGGACAGTGCTCTAGGTAGAATTGGGGCATGATGTCTGGGATTTCATGTTTTATGGGAACAATGAGTCATTGGCCCAGAGCTTATTGACAAACATACAGACTTTATAAAAAGCAAGCAATGTGATATTAAACCTCTGGGCAACTAGTACATACCATCATGGCTTGCTTAAGGAAGTAATTAAGGGGGAAAATTAGAAAATTCTCTACATTTTGTAAAAAGAATCAAAATCAGAAAACTCACAGCTTTTCCCATTGGGTGGTACTTTTGTTGCATTTCACTTCAGGATTCTAGTCTCAGGGCAAGGCCCCAGTCTAACGTAGCCTTGGCTGGCCATTGCTCTTTGGAAGTCTTGGAGTGGATACATTTGTATAGGTAGAATATCCCTCCCCCCTCTCCTCCCCCTTCTCTTCCTCCTCCCTCTCCACTTCCTTTCCCTCCCCCTCTCCTCCCCTTCTCTTCCTCTCCCTTTCTCTTCTCCCTTCCTCCTCCCTCCCCCTCCTCCTCTTGCTCTCCCCTCATATTCACTGAATTCATTTTTCTAAGGTTCTTTTCCCACACTGTGGATGTCTGTTAGCATCATCTCTGCAGGACTGTAAGGTTGAATATGAGAGCAGCTAAGGATGTTTTTTACAGTCACATTCTTGTACTTGTTAGCACCCAGGGCAGAATGATTCCTTCATGAAACAGACCCCAGATGAATGATTCAGGAATGGGAGGGACAGTGGTGTGCTATGTGGATGTATGTAATTATCCAGCTGTTTCTGGGGTTAGCAAGCATCATTTTGTGAGGGGCTAAAGGAATGTTTAGAGCCCTACTCCATCTGGGCTCTGATCCAGCAACTTGGCACTGTTGTGTTCAGTGTGAAAGGACGCAGTGTGACAGGCATGGCTAAATTCCAGAAGATTGTTGTTCACATACTGAGTCGAGGGCTGGATTTGGTCCACCAGTTGTAGTTTGACTGGCTACATAGGAATCATACAGGAAGTCACCTTAGCAAAGAAGTTTTGTGAGTCTGTAAGTGGCACAGCCATTGCTCAGTTTTCATACAGTTCCATTTCCTTTTCCATCTGAGTGCAGGAAGCCAGGTTTCCCTGCCTCCTCTACACTCAGTGGACACTGACTGATCCTGATCAATGAACTGTGACTAAAGTGATGTCTTCTCCACCCAGACATGCTCATAGAACAATGCCCATTGTTCCATGCTCTTCTCCCTCTTCTGCAGGTGTGGAGGGCTCCAGGGCCCCAGACATTTGTAAAGCCACATACTGGTTTGAGCTGGTATGATCCATGAATAACAGTGCACAGTGAAGCTGTGTAGATGTACAGATTAAGATACACAGGACTAGGTTAAATATAGGTTAATTTTATTCCGGGAGAAGTCACTTACATAAGAAACCAATGACCTGCAAGTTCCAGCTCCAAGGATCCACACCCAGCTGCTCTCTGTGACCCTACCAGAACCAAGAGAGCAAGCCTATCTCGGACCCCAGACCAAACACCACACGCTCACGTACACACCTGTGACTACACCCAAATGGGCCACAGGTGAGGCTGGTTGGATCTCTCACTACAATTCCCCCTTTAGTCTAAAGAAAAAGGTTTATATTTGATATAAAACTATATATAAAGATAGCAAATATCAAGTATGCAGTAGGAGAAGGAAAAGTAAGAACATACACCCTTAAGACCTACTGGCAGTGAAGCAACAAGAGCAAATGTCAAGAACTACAAAGCTGCCCTTCTGGCCCTAGAAGGGGTGTGAAAAAAAGAAGTCTGTGTTTCTAAGGCCATGGGTACAAATCTGGGTAAAGAACAGACACTGAAAGAGAAGAAAGAGTAAGGGCAGATCTTATGTTTGTTGGGCTGAACTGTCTCATGTAAAACAAAGCTGAAGTTAAGAAAACATCGAGGAGGAGCAAGTGAGTGGCAGGAAACCCCATTTGCAGTTTACACCACAAGGTCTCTGGACACATGTGACTCAACCAACACCCAAGGGGCAGCTTTTACAGGCTACATCGAAGTGTTTACTCAATTATTCTTTATCAATAAAAACTTGGGAGCTAGATATTGGGATAAGAACCTGAATGATCAGAGAAGCATTGGAGAAGTCACCAGTGACCTATCTCATTCCTCCATCCAAAAGGGCTGGGATCCTCTCTAAGCCTCGCTGTACTATTTCCCGTCTCTCTATCTGTCCTCAGTCCTCTAAAACCACTATGGTTTATTTTGGTTGGCTAGTAGTTAGCTTTGCCCTCCAATTCAAAGCAAATTTTATTGTCAGAATTAGATCAAAATATCACACACCACCACATAGTGAGTCCTCCCTCTTGGTGGGTTCCACTGTTATGATTCTAATAGCCTTATGTTTAAAATACTTGAAAAATCAAATCTCTCTCTCTTTCTCCCTCTGTGTTTGTGTATGTCTGTCTGTCTGTCTCAGTTTCTTGAGATTCAATTTCTCTGTATAGCCCTGGCTGTCCTGGAACCCACTCTTCAGATCAGGCTAACCTTGAACTCAGAGATAGGCCTGCCTCTGCCTACCGAGCCATGGATTAAAGTTGTGTGCCACGGAATGACTTTTTTCTTATAGTCATTGTCTACCAGGAGTGCCCAACTTTTTGACATTGTGACATGACATCCTCTACAAAGACCATGCTCATGAGTTATGCCATCGGGTTTGGGATTTTTATGTCAGGCTGGAATCATAGCTGTTCTGGGTTGCATGTGGGCTTCAGGCCTCAGTTTGGACAAGTGTCTAAGAAAGACTGTATAACAAATTTACAAAGCATTTACTGATGGTTTAGAGGGTGTGAATAGGTCCTACATAGATGCTGTGACATCTTAGAGAAGGTCTTGGTCATCCATTCAGCATGGAGGACCAGTCACAGAAGGGGCAGTGAGATTGGCTGTCGTTGTGCAGACGAATTTGAGACATTTAGGCCATCCTGGCTGATGTCTAAGGTGTTAGTTTCACCTGGACCCATGACTATAGGAGATTTTAACCTGATTAGAACCGGGAGAACTTTAATGGAGGCACTGGTATATCAGTTTGGGTTTGACTGAGGAACCAGTTTCTGAGAGTACTGTAGAATGGTAAATTAATTACAGGGACAGGCTGTCACTGTGAAATGGAGAGGAAGGCCCTGGGAAGCTGCTGCTTCTGTGTATCTGGTGGTGGGTGTGAAGTTTCTATGGGTCAGCAAGGCTGGTAGTTGGGGAGAAAAGCTGGATGTGAAGCTAGGGAGCTGCAGAGCTAACAGAGGCAGTGGAAACAGGTGAACCCAATTCCATGAGGAGAGCCTAGACCCACACCTGCCCTGTCCCTCGCCTTGACAGCACAGGTGACTTGTTAGAGCAGACACTCTCCCACAGACCTGCTCACTTCTGAACCAGGGTTTGGAGAAATGGGGCATGATTTAAGCAGGAGCTTGGGAATGTCACCTCGTACCTGTAAGGTTGACTAGAAAGCCAGCCATAGTATGTGCAAGCTGGAACAGATAGCTGGCCTTTCAAGCCCAGTGGCTGCTGTTTTCCTTCTGTGTCTCAAACTTTTTAATGATTTTCATTCTTACCTCTAATCCAGAAACACGTAGAAGGGAGTTATGGGAAACATAAATTATTATAGCCTCTGTTATTGCTGGACTGGAGGTACAGGTCTGGTGTCATCTGGAGCTCACTTCCTCAGACTGAGCAATCAAGTTGTCCTACTCACTCTTCCAGTTTCTGAGGACTTGGCTGTGCATAGCCCTGTACCTATCAGAGCCCCCAACCCAGGATCTACGACAAGATTATCCCCATATTTGCTAGCCTTTCCTTCACTTAATGCAATGTTTTCTTTCCTTTGACTAGGAAAATGCCCAGATCATCAGGGAAGTGGAAGTAGATAAAGTCTCTTCACTCTCCAGGGACCAGGTGGCAGCCATCAAGCAGCTGTGGCTGGATCCAGGCATCCAGGAGTGTTATGACAGGAGGAGGGAGTACCAGCTGTCGGACTCTGCTAAGTAGTGAGTACTCTGCCTGCCTGCTCACTGCAGCTGCTGCCACACTGCTTAGGCTGACTCTGCAAGACTTCACTCCCTGCTTGGAGGAGAGGAGGTGGTCTTTCCAGACCTCTGGCTCTGACTCTTAGCATCTTCTCTCCTAATTTTCTGTGGGTTCCCAGATAGGCCTTGGAGTCAGCTCCCACCTAATTAAATTTGAAAGTCCCTTAGCAGAATTACCTAAGCTTTGGTGCTGGAATTATATTAATTATCTATAATTAATATATATTTGCTTAATTTTATTAAGCAAATTTTTAAATTAAATTAAGCTTAATTATATTAAGCAAAGAATACATATAAGCCTATGGCGGTTCACTGTCTTCTCACCATATTCTTTGCAAACCACAGGCAGGTGTAGGCCTTGCTTAAATCAGCCACTGGTCTTATGCTACCCTCTAGTGATGGACATAGGTATCTGCAAGAGCAGCACACAGGGAGCTCAGCGGGCTTATTTGCCATGGCTTATTTGACCCTCTCAGAAAGTCTACCTCCTACATATTTTGTATCCATAAAGCTTTATCCATCAACCGACCAAATTTATATTGCACACCACCTTGGAGAGATTGCAACATTTCCCTTTCCTAAGAGTCCCCAAAGGACTGTGTGTGCCATCCAGGTGACTAGGCTGGATTATTTCTTCTTGGGTTGTTGCTTGTTTGTGCTTCTACAGCTAAGTCTTTTCTGCTTCCCCCATATCACTGTCCCTCCTCCCAGGACCATGACACCCTCACACCCAAACCATCCGATTCCGCTTAAGTGTTGGCCTTCTTCTGAGCTAGTTCCAACAGGTCAAAGCAACTGTCAGGAAAGGCATTGTTATTTCATGTAGCCTTTACTTTCCCTAGACATTTGTCCCAGGCACAGTGTTCAATTTGTTGTAGGTTGGCACAACTGATCCAACTATATCAGCAGAAAAGCATGATGTTAGGAGAAGAAAAGAAACCAGTAAGATGTTACATTGGCAATGGACAGGGGAGGAAGAAAGTCTAGGCCCCCCCCCCCCCCCCCCCCCCACACACATTCCCTCCCAGAAGCAGCCCACTTTTATTGGCTCTGTGACAGTGCTGTGGGTTTACATCCATTTGGAGAAAGCTCATTAGAACTGCTGTAGGGGTTAATTCAGTATAAATCTTGAAAACTGAAGCAAGTTCACTGAGAGGCATGCCAGGGGTGACTGCAGAGGTAAACAGAGTTACACAGAAGATGGTAGTATTTAATAAAGCCCCATAGCTGCCAGTCTTGAGAGTAGGTGGATGTGGTGGCACATTCCTGGGATACTAGCACTGGGAAGGCAAGAGCAGGAGGATCTCAACCCAAACTGGGCTAGACCCTGTCTTAAAAGACAAAACATATATTACTTGTGTATTTTCTTGGTTCAGCTTTCGGTTTTCAGTCGTCTGCTAGTAATGTCTGCATTTTTAGATATGCATTTATACTACCTAAATGAGTATACCAGATAGCATGCTAAGGGCTATGTGGCAACCAACCAATGCCCTCTAATCTCAGAAACTGCATGGTCTGCTGGTTCCAATCAATCATTCAATCAATCAACCTATCACCTTATCTCCCATTTATAACTTTTGGGCCACTTTCCCGAGTCCCCAGTAGATACTCCAAACTACAGATGGCATTGTATTCTGTTTTTTTCTATATGAACATTAAGCATGATAAGATGAACTTAAACATTAGTGATAGTAACAGCTTTATAGAAACCGAAAATAAGGTGATTACCTGGAGCACATGGAGAATGCCATGACAGTTTGTGTGGTAACTGGGACAGCTACCGGGTGACTAGCAGGTGGGGAGGGGACACTAGGAAGTATGTTACACATCTAGGACCAGAGACAGATTTTATCCAGCTTCTCAGAATGGTACTGAATTGAAAACTTAGGAATTGTCTGTAGCTTTGCCAAAGCAATACAAAGAGAAAATGAATTACTTATTTCTGGTATTATTTTCCCATTTCTTATTTTTGGACCATAAATGACCATAGGTATTTGAAACCCTGGAGTAGAACACTGGATAAAGGGAGAAGATGGCTATAAAGGAAAAAGGAATACATGGGAGTGGGCCCAGCAGTTTGAAGTCAGTGAGGTCCATCTCTAGGCTGACCTGCTCAGCCCTGGATATTTAGGTTGTGCTACAGAAAGTAGCAAAGCCATCAACTCCATTGCTAGCTAGGGTCTTTTGTAAGGACTTAATCAAGCAAGTTTTGAAGATACAGTGTCTAGCCCAGGCTGGCCTTGAACTCTCCATGTGTTTCAGCAGCACCCTGAACTTCTGAGCCTCTGACTTTTACCTCCTGAGTGTTGAGATTGCAGGCACATGTCACCATGTTTGTTGTAGATGGTGCTGGGGTTTAAACCCAGTGCTAAGTGCATGCTAGGCAAGCACTTTGAAGAACTGAGCTACATCGCCTGGTGAAGTGTTTTTTAAAGGCATTCTTTCAAAGTCAGGACACAGCCCCAAATAACAAATTTTGGATTATTTTAGATGTCTCATACAGCCGTGTATTTTTATAGAAATGGCTCTTAATTCACTGATCAGATCCTTCAGAGAACAGTGTCTACTTTATGTAATGTTCTTGGATGAAGGCAAGTGGGCAGGTCTGTTGGATAATGGGCCAGTGTCATTACCTACCTCCTCTGCCGCTAGGCTGCTGCTTTCCTTATGGCCACAGTGATATGCAGCTGGGTACCGGACCAAGTGACCTACATTCTCAGAAGGCTTCCAAATGTGCTTATGAGTCCTGATCCATTCAGGATGGTCTTGGGAGGATAGAGGCCTGGTCACCTCTGAATGTTACTTCTGGCTTCCAAGTCTTGTTGGGGCCTGTGGTCAGGACTTCCCTTGAGCAAGGAAGGCTATTTCCCTTTCTCACAGTGGAGCCTCAGCTTCTCAACTCTTTAATGTTACAGTTACCTGACTGACATTGACCGAATCGCCATGCCCTCTTTCGTGCCAACACAACAGGATGTGCTTCGTGTTCGAGTGCCCACCACTGGCATCATAGAGTATCCATTTGACTTGGAAAACATCATCTTCCGGTGAGTGTCTCCCAGATGGAGGCCTTTAAGATCAGTCTGTTCAGGGGGCACATCCTGATGTGGAGTATTACATGCTGCTCCTAAGCAGCTCTTAAGTCAATATAACCTGGGGTCTCACGCTCCTCAACAGAGGGACTTCTGGGCTCTTTCTACCAGGAAAAGGGCTTCTTATGTATAGTCACACAGATGTGCACTCTGTGATAACATAGTCTACTGATGTCTTTTCCCTAATGTTGAGTAAGATTTCTCTTTCCCTTATTACCTTGTCTGGGATATACCCTTAGAGAAAAACCATGAAAAAAATGTGTGTGTGTGTGTGTGCGCGCGCGCGCGCAAAATGTATACATGCCAATTTATGTAACAACACTCTAAGGATGAACAGCTCTTTACTGAACTTTGTATTGGAAAAATAAATATAGGTCATTTACAAAACACTGAAGATTTCAAGGCACCTTTAAAAATTGTGTGTGTGTATGTATGTGTACCAGGTGTATGCAGGAGCTCTTGGAGATGATGAGAGAATTGAATCCCCAGGGACTGGAGTTACAGGTAGTAGTAAACCACTATGTGAGTGCTAGGACTGAACTCAAGCCCTTTGCATAAGCAGTAAGAGCTCTTAATCACTGAGCCACCTCTCCAACCCCTCAAAGCACTTGAATATTATTCCCCTTATTCTTTCTAATGATGATCATTTTATACATTTCTTGCCCTTTAACAACAAATACAATATTACAATTCTGTTTTAGCACTCCTTCATTGCTGTTACATGGAGTGGTATGAAAGTACTCTGCAGTTTTGTTACATATGTCTAATTTAATGGTCACTCTTTCCTGAGCTGACCTGTGGATTTAAATGTTTTCAACTTTGAAGGCTGCTTGCAACCTCCCAAACATCTCAGAAATGAGTTTGCCAGAGCTTTGATAAGGAGGTTTTACCTTTCCAGAGCCTTAGGACTGGGTTTAATATAGCCTGAGGATGATACCTTACAGCCCGTGGCATCTCCCCTGTGCAGTCTTTCTGGATGAAGAATTCTGATGCTTGAAGTTGAGGTCTTTGTAGCATGTCTTCACATCAAGTCCCTTAATATTTGTGCTTTCTATCCTAGCTCTGTTTCCCTCTGCAATATGAGGCAAGCAGCATGCATACAGCATTGCAGGCATGTCTGTACCCCTAGAACCTGGCTCCAAAGCACCTTTCTAGATGGTAGCCAGTGAGCCTGTGGACCATCTAGACACACTGGTTTGGGGTCTTCAGAAATTGGTGTGTGGATGGGGTAAGGGTGTAGGGGTGGTAGGTGTGACCTGGCAGGTTATGTGCTCTGTCTGACCCATATAGTCTGTCATAGTGTTAGGAAAAATATTTACAACAACACTTTTTATTTAAAATCTATTCAATTTCCCTAAAATATCCACAGACCTGGAAATAATGAGCCTGCATTCTGCCTAGTAGCAGTGGCATCAGTGACATGGAAGAGGGGTGGCTCAGTGGCTAAGAGAGCTCACCTATATTGAGTGTCTCATAGCTACTTGTAACTCTAACTCCAGGGATCCACTACCTCTTCTGGTCTTGGGGCACCTGCACTCGTGTCTATGACCCCCGAGGACGAGAGGGGGAAAAGGAAAGAGAGGAAAAGAGAGAGAGAGAGAGAGAGAGAGAGAGAGAGAGAGAACAAATGAGATACCAGGATGACGGCTTGCTGTTGTCCATTTGTGTCGTAGGACTCCATGTGGGTGGCTGGAGTAAAGGACTTCTACAGCAGGTTCTTACCCAATAGCTCCAGGCAGGCTCCATCTGAGTCCTAGGCTTGGAAACCACCAATAGTTCTCCACTGCCCACAGCAGCATATTCTAACACACTAACCTTAAGAGCACCTTCCCTCTAAAAGTTGAGGACCCCAAAGGCTACTAATTCCAGGGAGCAATGGCTCTGATCATCTACCTCTTTTGAGTAGGATGGTAGATGTTGGTGGCCAGCGATCTGAACGACGGAAATGGATTCACTGCTTTGAGAGCGTCACCTCCATCATTTTCTTGGTTGCTCTGAGTGAATATGACCAGGTTCTGGCTGAGTGTGACAATGAGGTATGCTGAGGGTTTGGAACTTGGAGGTATGCTGCTGGGGTGGGAGTCAGTGTGGTAACTGTAGAAGACATTCTTATTTCTTCAATTTTCACTAGCTAGGTGAGGAAATTAGACTCTCCAGCTAACATTCAGGCGTTTGTTACTAATGCAACCTACTGGCACACTGCAGGCCCATTTACAAAGTCCCCTGTAGCTTAAATACTGTCACATGTTACTTAACAACAAAATGCACTTTGAGATAGACATCATTAGATTTCAGAGCCAGGTTTGATGGCACATGCCTTTAATCACAGCACGCAGAAGGCAAAGACAGGCAGATCTCCGAGAGTTCCAGGCTACCTAAGGCTACAGTCTTAGACCCAAACAAAACAAGACAAGAAACAACAAAACCCAAGACAAACCAATGAAACAGAAGAGACTTCATCTTTGTATGACTTTGATGGCGCAGTTTACTGCATACCAAGAGTTGAAACAGAACCCCAGATCTAATTAATTAATGTAGTTAGTTGCCCAGTAGAATTTCCTAAGGAGCCGTAGGAAAAACGTTGAGTGCCCAGGTCAAATACCAGAGACTTTCACCTAGTTGATCCATGGTGGCCATGGCCTGAGAACTCTTCCAGGTAATGTAATGGGTCATGAATGGTGGAAAACAGGAAAAAGCAGATAGTCCTGGGACTGGGTCTGGGAGCTCAGTTAACTTAGAAACCATGTAAAATTCAACCTGTACACACACAAAGCAGAGATTCTCACTGCTGTGGCATGTTGGAAAAAAAAAATACTGCCACGAACTACAGTTATATTTACTGGGTTCCAATGGGGATAGTTTCATTTCCAAGTCCCTTCAGAGACCCTAATGCATACAATATTGTCTAGCAATTCTCCCCCAATCCCACCCCTTTCAAGACTGGGTCTTGTGTAGCCGAAGCTGGCCTCAAACTGGCTATGAAGCCAAGGGTAACCTTCAACTTCTGATCCCCCAGCCTCACACTACCTCATATGTGTTGAGATTATGCCTGTGTGGCACTGCATGGATTGAACCCACAGCTTCATCATACTAGGCATCCACAGCCCATGTGACAGTTTGTAACAGATGCTATCTGAACCGACTCCTCAGCCTCCAGAGAATGACACTCCCAAACAAGGTTCCTAGCTGAGTTGTTAGGGCAGAGGTGCCCAGCATGTGGAGCAACTCAGGAGCTACCTGAGATTGCATCTGTCCTGACTCCCCTGCAAGGGTCTCATTCAGGGTGTTTGGGCAGATGCAGCCCAGTCAGGTACTGTGCCTTGTGCAAAGCTGCAAGATGCTGGCTGGGTCTAGTTCCATTAGATGCTCTGATAGAAAGTACCAGGACTGTCAGCCACTTGTGAGGTTATTTTTTAGAGGAATACCAGTATCTTCCTAATGGCCCTTTTCTCTGAATATATATGCAAGATTTCTTGGCTCTTGTTTCAATGACATATTATCAATCATCAGTGCACTGCCCAAGAACAAACCATATCTTGTACCTCTTGAGTGAAAGCTTCTCTTTGAGGAGTGCCAATATATTAGCTAATTGGTGGAGGGTGAACTCATTTACTTCTGCCATCAGAGTAACAGTGGCTGCTGTCTAGCTCTCCCAAAAGGAATTTCAAGAGATACAGTTCTCAACATAAGAAAACAAAACAAAACAGGAATTCTTAGGAGAAGAGTCAAAGGATTGGGTGCTCAAGGGACCAGGAGCCCAATCCAATATTCTTAGAAAATAAATATATTCATTTTTCCTAAAAAAGAAAAAAAATCACAGGAACCACAGGTTTGGAGAGCACATAAATGGTTGCTATTCCCACACATTCCTTCCAGTTGTAGATATGCATTGGGTCCACTTACTCTGCCATACAGATTTTTTTTTTTTTAAATTTTTGCCCCTTTGGAGATTAAGATAATTCTCGTCTTTAGAGAATCTCTAAAAGTAGCTGAGTTACTTTTCTGATAATACATTCTGGACTCCAGCCTGCAGAGCGGGAGAATGCCCAGGTGTGGACTTGTAGAGTAGTAGATTCATGGTGCATCCCTTCGGAGCATGTGTGAAGCCTGGATGTTTTTATGGCTGCTTCCTCCTCTAAAGGAAAGTTCTTGCCTTTTCCCTTAGAAATACTTAAGAGAAAATACTGTGAAGAACAGTAGTTGTCATGAGATACAATATGTTTCTCAGCTATCTACCCACTCAAATTTGAGAGCTTTTATTATTATTATTTTGAAATGTGTTGTTTAAAATAACAGTTCGTGAGTACAATTGTCACAGGGCTCATGTATTTATGGGTTTGGGAAAGTTAAATCTTTAGGATGCTCTGCTCATCCAGCAAATTGGGACAACATCCCACTTGTAAAGCATGTCTTTGGTGCTCTGCAGTGTTAGTTCTGTTCTGACCAGTCTAGCATGCCTGAAGGCTCAGGGTTGTGGTCCTCCCTGGAGTGCTTTCCTTCATCCTGTGTTCAATACCCCTGAGGCACTGCTCAGAAGCACACACCCACTTGCAGCTAGTGTCTCACCTGACCTGTTAATCAAACAGTTACAGAACACACCTTGTCTAACGAAATAAACTTTTTACTCCAAGTTACACAGAAGCCTTGTTTAGGGCAAGAGAACTGTTAAGTGCTCCAAAAATGATATTGAGAAAGTCAACTAATCAGGGGTATGTGTGTGTGGGTGGGGTGGGGCAAATGGAAGCAGGTCCGGTGGGCCCATGTGTTTGCGAAGTCTTGCTTTTCTTTCTGACTTATCCTAACTTTGTTTCTCACTAGAACCGTATGGAAGAGAGTAAAGCCTTGTTTAAAACCATCATCACCTACCCCTGGTTTCTGAACTCATCTGTGATTTTGTTCTTAAACAAGAAAGATCTTTTGGAAGAGAAAATCATGTACTCTCATCTAATTAGCTATTTCCCAGAATACACAGGTAAGTATCTGGGGGAACAGTGCTCTCACACCAACCTTGTTAGCCTCTTCTTCACCTGCAGCAGTCTCCAGTGTCCAGTATGGTTTTCTGGGGAAGCCCTCATAGGCTTTCACGTTTTCACTTCAAATTATACTTCTCATTGTCCCTGATGTTTACACCTAGACACCTCCACTACAAGGCCTGAATGCATTTGCCAAGTTATTTGGCTTTCTCCACTTGGCTGGTGAGGACTCAGCTCAGGCACCTCACCTAGGAAACCCTTCTTACCCTCCTGTACCTGTCTACAGCGTGCACTAGTGTGCCACCTCTCCTTTCTGTTGCCCTGGCAGCCTGGTCACTCTGCTGCATATGCATTCACTCAGCTTTCCTTGACAAAGCTAGCTCACAGCTTCTAACACCTGTTGCTTTGTGAGGTTACAGATTATCTGCTTCTCAGTCACAGGGCTGGTGTTGAAGTATTCCATGTATGCAACCTGCTCAAGGCAGGGCAGTTCTCATGCTCACTAATCACTCCTGGCACAAGAGGTCTCAAACAGTATGCTCTTGACATTGATATTTACATGTTAGTGTTACAACATACTCCCCCCACCCCTTGCTTTGATTAAACATACTGGCAGTATGGTTTAGAACTGTCAGGCTTTAAAACCAACCTAGTAACACTAGTTTCTCTACCACACCTCCCTCCCCCAGTCCACAGCTGCCTGTCTGTACAAGTCAGTGGTTAGAAAACAAAAACTAGGCCACTATTTTTAGACAAAGTGCTTTACAGTACAATTTTTAGATACCAGTAGACACTTTAAAAAGACCATTGGGCTAGAGAATAGCTCAGTTGGTAAAAACATTTGCCTTGCAAACAATCCCCAAAACTCACCTAAAAAAGCCAGGCATGATAGTAAGAACTTGTAATCACAAAGTCAGGGCAGGGGAGACAGGCAGATCACTGGGACTTGCTGGCCAGCCAGCAAGTGAGCTGTAGGCCAATGAAAGATTTAGTCAAAGGAGGTACATGGCATTCCTGAGGATAACATGAAATTGTCCTCTGGTCACAAGCATGCACACATGCACACACACTGCATAAAATGGAAAAATACTTAAAAGTATTGCATAGGTTCATATGATTTGTAATAACTACTCCAGGTAAACTTTACTTAGATATAAGTAAGATTGATCAAAGGATTCCAAATAAGAACGAAAATACATTAAAAATGGATTGTGGAAAGACACGGTGGTGAGTTTGTACCTTTCTTTATCCCCTCATGACCAGGGCCAAAGCAAGATGTGAAAGCTGCCAAGGACTTTATCTTGAAGCTGTATCAAGACCAGAACCCTGACAAAGAGAAAGTCATCTATTCTCACTTCACCTGTGCTACTGACACTGAGAATATTCGCTTTGTGTTTGCTGCTGTCAAAGACACAATTCTACAGCTAAACCTACGGGAATTCAACTTGGTGTAAATGCTTAGTCCACTCCTCCCAGAGGGTGATCTGAGCTCTTCCTGCCTATCCTACAAGTGCTTCTGACCATTTGGGCCAGGATCCAAGGACATTATGTAGACCACAAGAACAGACATGGGTAGTGTAACTTCAAAGTTACTTGCTTTACCAATCCTCATAAGTGTCTTTAATTCTTGATTGTCTTTTCTTACCTTTTGGCTGCAAGACTAGGTATAATTTTTGAGTTTGGTATTTTACTGAATTTTAAAAGGCCACTGTGATCCCCTGCCACATAATGGAGGGGCCTTGTCAATTTACACATCATGCCTTCAGATGTCTAGGATTAATTTGGGTGACTAAAACATCTTAATAGGCTTGATTTAAAGAAAAAGAAAAACTTAAAGACATTGCTAACATCTCTTTCCCTCATCTAACATTCTATCAAACAACCAAAGACTTCTTTCTATGCCCCCCCTCCCCAACCATCTTTGGTTGTTTTAATTCTTTAATTTTAAAGACAGGACCTGAAGTAGCTGAGACTAGCTGCCAATCTACATTTGCTACGTAACTGAGGATGGCCTTGATCCTCCTGCCTGAACTTCCCAAGTGTTTGTTGGAATTGCTGTGTATGCTACCATGCTCAGCTAAGATTTTTTTTTCTTTTCTGAGACAGGGTCTCCATTATTGCTGTTCTCAAACATAGCATGCAGCTGAGGATGATCTTAAACTTCTGATTCTCTTGTCTTCATATATACAACTATTTAAAACAGGAGAGTTCGAACCCTGTTGCTAGTTATTCCTGGCATTAAGAGGTCTCAAATTGTATGATTTTGACACTGATATTTACAGGTTAGTGTTGGGATGCATGTTCCACTACAGTCAGTTTATGTGGTACTTGGGATGGAACCCTGGGCTTTGTGCATGCTAGGCAAGCATTCTGCCAACTGAACTACACCCCCAGCCAAAGATTTCTTTAAAAGAATAGTTCTATTCATGTCAACTTTCTAAGCCAAATTAATATTATCCCAATATCTAATTTAATTTTGCCATAATTTGGTGGTGAAGCCAAAGCTGAGACAGATGATATCTGAGCTCTAGATAGTGCATGTGTGTATCTTAATGCATATGACCCGAAGGAGAAGAGACTCCAAATTAACTTAAGAAACAACTATAAAGTAATTTTTTTGTGAAGGTTGAGAAACCAAACATTAAGTTGTGGGTTACATTTTTATACCCCCCTTCCCATGGATTGAACCTTTTTTTTTTTCCTTCCTTTTTTTTTTTTTTTTTTTTTTTTACCAAATGTCATGTAAGCTTTGCCAAAACTCTGATGTAATCACAAACCTGCTGTCTGAACTGTGTACACTGTGCCTTTCTGCATACTGAGAGAATATAACTGTTCTACCAGGAATACTGATGATGTGTTTCTTGGTATTCATGGGTGATGGTTCTGTTCAAAAGAAAAATCCTACAACCTTAACAACTCAGCAGCTTTCCTTTTTCCCCCTTTTGAAATAAATCTTGATCCATCTCTGTATGTTGGAGATCCATAATAGCTGGCTCAGTAAAGTGCAGATCCCAATCCCTTTAGGCTTCAGACTAAAGGCCTAGGATGGTTTTGTTTCTACTGCTCATTGGGAGGTATGTGTGCACTTAGCATGTATTCTACCTCTCGCCAATCTTCAAAGGGTCTCCAACTTTAAAATGGTCTAGCTTTTACCACAGTGAGAAAGTGACATACATCAAGTAGAAACTGTACTTGGAATTTTGATCCTTTTTCAGGCTAATAATCTTTGGTCTGGTACTCTTTTGAGATGATGGGCAGTGGCAAGCTGCAGCTCCCAGTCAGCCTTACCATCATGAGGAAAAGCAGTAACTTCTCTGTGGTGCACTTCTGGATTTGATGTTCTAGAGTCAGTATAGTATGTGCATTTTCAGCCTCAATGCTTTCAGTCACTGTGGGTTTACTTCCTTGAGTCTGTATAAACACTCTCAGATTGGAATTCCTAGATCTGAACTAGGCCTTTCTGACACCCAGTTAAGGACCTCAAGATTGTCAACTTGTTGGAACAAATTCCAAGCGTGAACCCATTCTACCAAAGTAGCATTAGGTTTTGAAAGTCAGTCTTTACTTAAGGCATGAACTGGATAAATGGATGCTTTATCTTATTTTAAACAACTGGCCATCAAGACAAAGGGGTAGTAGCTCTTAAAGATATTTAAAATCAAAGACAACATCCACTATTGTGGTCCCTCCCCATCACAAACTATGGCTAAAGGTGACTGACTGGATCTCACTAGCCCATTAATCTAAAAAGTAGCATATCAACAGAATCACAATCAAGGATATTAAACAACGTGGGATTCTCTTTTCAAGTACCTTATTAACAATTTAATCTCTGGTTGATATACAAGAAAGTGATGTCTTTCAGGGCAAAAAGGGTATGGAATAAATCAAAGGGTGGTAACAAATACCTTTTTTAGTTTCAGTAAGGTTAACTCTCAACATCAGAGGTGAGTTAGTGATTTCTGTCAATATTAATTCTTTCTACAGAAATTTCCCCCATGCCTTTCTTTTTAAAATATACTCACCCCATCTGAAGTTGGTGGCTAAGAGTTCACCAGGTATTCCTGTAAGCTTTTAGTCAATGGTGAGCATGCTTGGCTAGAAGGCTGTCCAGTCCACTTCAACTAAAAAGTCAGAGCACTGATCTCTTGGAGTGACTTAGGCCACAGAGGGTAGATTTTAGACAGGCAAGAGAAAGTGAATGTTCCCGGTTCTATTCAATAACAACCAAAACAGACCAAAGACCAGAAAGCTTTATTGAACTCCTATACTGTTAATCTGGGCAGCCATTTTAGCATGCGATCAAAATCTACCACCTCCAAGAAATAAGTTTGAAGTGTTAGTATTTCCAGCAGGTTTTTTTTTGAAAGAAAGACTAAGACCAGTTTTAAGAATAAGAACCAGATTTGAAACACATGTGTTAATAGACTATTTATATAAAAATACACAAAACTAAGGCAGCCACTGTGTAATAGGTAATTAGGTCATGTTTACATACAGGAGATAGACAGTAGGAACAGTAAAGCAAAGGAAATACTGATGCAATGAAGAATACTTTTAAAACCCGTAATAACCAATGGCCATGTTTTCACCAAATAACAAACATTCCAAAGAAGTACAGGCTATTAAAGCAATATAAAAATAGTTAAGATACTAGTCTGGTCATTTCATAAAAATGGAACTGTACAATTAAAAAACTAAGAAGAGAAGGTATTTTTTATTAAAGCACACCTTCCCCAACAACTTTGTTAATTGTATTACACTTGTATACAGAGATGGCATTTAAAACTTTCTACACATATGCTCTAACAAGTTCTAAATATAATTTATAATTATTGGTGATCTTGAGGGAATTTTCATTGATACTGAGGATATTCTATTCTAAGCTATAGTATGTTGCTTTCTGAAATGCTTTCTGCCCAAATACTGGTGACTTTGAAATAGTGGTGGTAGAGGACATCATAAATACTGAGGCTTTCATCACTCTGCTGGAGGTAACACTTATAAGCATTAGGCATTTTTAACAGCTTCGTGAAGGGTCCTTGTTACAAAGATTTTACTAGAAGAAAGCACTGATATCACAGAAATATGTTCAGTGACAGAGATTTTAAATCAAGGCAATTTGATATGGATTACAGCAGGTATTAAACTACGACTAAAATTTGTATTTGTATAAAAACTCAATTTTGAAAAAATATTGATATTGACCTATAAAATATGAAGTTACATTTCTTATATGTCAAGCTTTGGGTAACTCTAATTTTCCTCTTTTTTTTAAAAAAAAAAGCTATACTGTTTAAGAAAAAAAAATCAAGAACCCATAATGCTAAAGTAAACATACTTTTAAATGACAAAGAGATTATTTTACAAAAGAGGCAATAAAGTAGAAAAAGTTTTAACTGAAGAAACATTAACGGGGCTTCTGAGTAAGACACAGCCTCTTCTCATTTAGCCAAGCACCTCCTTCTAGATTAGTGGGGAAAATCATGCTATTGGTTATAATGCTCACCCCTCCATGCTACACACAACAGATCATAAAAACCACAATTTAGCTAACTAATGTAAACTGAGGTGGGTTAGCATTAACAATGAAGTATAGACTTCAAAAATATACCCAAAGGAACAGGCAAAGGGTTCTTTTCCAGAGTGAGGACCGATATGTGATTCTATGCAGCACCAGCAGAAATCAGACGGATGTAGTTTTGGATTTCTTATATCAGATTCAATCCAGTCTTCCTTTTCTACTTAGGTCTTAATGGAAATGAGGAAATGCAGTATTTTTAGTTAAAATGTACTTCTATTTATTTGTATGGCACCCTCAACAGGTAAGTGCTCCGGTTCTACAATAATGTCCCCTACATAGTTAGCTACCTGATTTTCAGGATCTTTGCCACATGTATGAGCCAGACAGAAGGCAGATGGGAGTAAGATGCCCTGTAGAGACAGGGCTCTACCACAGCCTGTGGTCTTTTGGGTGTCGTCTGCTGAGCTAATTTTTATGCATTTCCTGGTTCCATTGGTCTTCTATGAGGAAAGGGAAGTGAAACATTCGATACACTAGAACAAGAGTTCTCCTGACTTCTCACCCTAAAGATGACCACTGTGCTCTGAGTCTGTTCTTCATTACCTAAGAAATATACAACCTAAACCACCCTGTTCCCAGGAATCAGGGCCCTAATCCTGGCCACAGTTCCAGCAGTTATGGATAGCCCTAGTCTTTCAGGCTTTTTGTATTCATTTTTTAAAAATTTAACACTACAAAGTGCTAACGTTTTAAATTATAAATAGAGCATTTGTTCCTATGTGTTCTCTTGTTCTTGTATTTCTTTACTATTCCATTTTTGAATTATGGTTGTCTTTAGCTATTAAAGACACGAACCAACGGTTAAGATCTATAATTTGAAAAACACCGCCACTGAGGATTTTAGTTGCATCAGAGATAAGAAGCAAAGATCAGGCACACAGGCAGGTATGTTAGTTTTAGACACCTATAAGTACATACGGCACATGCCTTTTGTCTTGATCTGATTAATGCAGAGGCCTATACATGGGAGCAAGTGGCACAGGCTAAAGAATGAGTCAACATGGTGATACCAAAGTACAGGAAATTCAATGTTGAGTATTTTTTTGTTTTTTTTTTAAACTTGGTAGGAATGGGGCACCAACTTGTGGGTGCTTCTTAGAGATTAGATATTGGCACAGTAATATTCACTGGGATACCACTGCTGCTACCTATTTGAAAAATGGATTGTGAAAGAAATTATGGAAGACCCCCCCCCCAAATACAAACACTATGAAAGCAAAGCTACTGGAGAAATCTGAACACTATGATTCCTTGATGATTTTTCTCAAAGGAGTCTGGATTCTGAAAGACTACTGAATAAAACATGTAACCGTAAACTATAAAATGTTATGCTAATGTCTCATCTATGTTAACGGTGGTTAATGTTCTTAGTTTTCACTGTTTAGACATAGAACAACCTGTGTCTTCCTACTGCATAGTCAGAAAGTAATGGGAGGAGGTGATGGGTCCACAATTCATAAAGAACAAGAAGATGCAGGAACAAGGAGGACAGGCATATTAGCTATGTATGTGCACTAGTAATAAAACCCATCCTGCGAACTGCCAGAAGATACAGAATTGCTATGCTAACTATTACTTTTGCACTTTATTATGGCAAACCTGGGGAATTAGGAATCTAATTTTTCTGAACTCATGAAAGAAGTAACTAATGAGGTAGTTAACTGTTGGCCATGACTGGGATGCCAGGAGAGCAACATTCCAGATACAGAGACAATACCAACCTTCTAAGACTTCTCTTCACAGGTTTAATTTGCAAACTTGGAGGCGCTCAGCAAGAGAAAGCTTGTACCTTACCTTGAAGAAGGTCATCTTGGGGATGCACAACTACAAAAATTTGTGATGTGTCATCTTTTCATTCAAGTTACATTTAGCAAAGAAAGCATTTGGGGTGCCACCAAAAACAATCAATGTGTTCTCTGAAATCAGATGGTAACAGTAGCAGCAACAACTGCAGTTACAGTCTGACATGCTGTTCATTCTAGCTTTTACAGCAAAGCAGGAGGCTTAACAACCCTGCAGATTAAACACCCAGTGACCAAACGAACTCTTAGATTTCATCACAAGTTTATAACAAGTTGGTAACATCACAATATAGATTGAACACTGTGTGTTATTCAATAACCGATTAAGACATTCTGTTTCACTTTAAATAGTCCATTAATAGTAAAGAGCAAAGATGTTGGAAAAAAAACCAAAGGGGGAAAACCTGTAACTTTTTTTTTTTTTTTTTACTATGATGGAGTTCAGAATTTTTGTAGTGATGAAGTGATGAGCCTGTATTTTTAAGTGTTTATCACCTGAATAACTACAGAGTAGGCAAACCTCAAATTCTTAATCCAAAGCAATAGGATAGATTACTGGTTAGGTCTTAGGGTTTGCACTTTAACTCATGAGGTGAACTCTTTATTCTCGAACACAGTTCATTACAGCTAAGATATTAGAAAGTTTTTCTTTTTTTTGTATTTTTAAATTCCTGTTACCAGTAAACAAAGGTAAGCATTATTAAGGCTTTAATTTTTTACTTTGAAAACAACTGTCTGTTAACAACACAAACCGGGTTAATCCATGGAGTTTCCCTGAGGAAGTATTTCCAAGGAACTAAATAAAGACCTGGAGGGACTTTACCTTTTTGGGTATCATACTCAGTTTTTAAAGCCTTTAAGTCTGTGATCCAAGGGGTATTATGTCCAATCTCAAAAAAGATTGTTTTTCAGTTATACTATGCATTTTAGTATAATCCAAATCATAAGACCTGGAGGGACTTTACCTTTTTGGGTATCATACTCAGTTTTTAAAGCCTTTAAGTCTGTGATCCAAGGGGTATTATGTCCAATCTCAAAAAAGATTGTTTTTCAGTTATACTATGCATTTTAGTATAATCCAAATCATTTTTTTTGAAAAATAAGGAAAATACGAATTTTTTTTTTTTTTTTTTTTTTTTTTTAAAAAGAACTTCATGATTCTGAAGAAATTACCAAAGTTTTCTGTGTCACTACTGAGGCAGTGCTTAATCTGATCATTTTCCACTACACAGGGAGACAAAGTAAACATGAGAGAAGTTTACAATGTTAACTGAGAAACTATACTTTGTTTGACAGGGACACTGTGAGCAAGCTTTCTACCATTACTGAGAATATCCTGGAGTAAACACTTCTTTTTATAAAATATTAAGAATCATATCAGATGCATGATCCAGATTAGGAAACTGAATGGACCTTCTAGTAGTTTAATCACACAACTGTTTGCCCAATTGATTGATTTTGTTTTTTTAAGCATCTAAAAGCATATGCTCCCTGAAATGACTCCTATTTTCCACAGGGGTTAGAAGGTACAGTATGGGAACTGTAGTATTGGATTGCTGTGCCTCCAGGCAGTGTTCCCTCTTCATTGGCTAGGAGATGGTTCCCTTGCTTCTTCCAGCTTTGTAAGGATCCACTGTTGGGGAGAAATACAGCAATGCTTACTAATTTCAATGAACTTGTGTTTAAACAAAGTAGAATGAATGGAAATCTAAAAGCCAACATTAAGTTTAGACAAACTGTTAGCTAATAGCCTACATATGGTACAAGAGAACACCAACATAGCCCAGATGTCAGAGGAATAGTATTTCCCTAAGGTCCTTGGAATTAGAAGTTCACTTTGGGAATTAAAGAATCATCTTGAGAATAAGAAAAGTACAATGAACTAGTCTGCCAGAAAAAGGATATTTTGGTGATTAAATAACTGGCATTGTCTGAAAAGTCAGTTTTGCAAAACTCTTTCCATCTTGCACCAGTTCTGCATATAGGTATTCAGTTTGAGTAGAAACAATTACAATTTTGTAGTTGGTAGTAGCATAGCAACATCTTTGAGCAGTTTTATTCCTCTCATGATAATTTTTTATGCTGAAAGGACTAGAAATTATTAAAATGAAATGAATACAAACCTTTCTATCAACAATGTCTATGATTGTGGGATCAGCCTGATGAGTGAAGCTGTGATATAGTTGTGTACCATTTCCAAAAGATTTAGAAGGTAGCTAAATGAGATGCTTTGGTGACTGTCTCCTCACTAAATGTATCAAACTGCCTTCACAAGAGCTAAGGAAATCAGGTGAGATCACATCCTGCTTATTGAGTTGTCAGAACAAAAAGACATCTAAGAAGGAAGGTAAGAGTTGTTCATAACACACTGTAACTCAACCTCAAGCAAATCAGCATGGAAGGATGTCCCCCCTTCCTGCCCCCTCCCTCCCCGGAGGGGCAAGGCAGTTGATTAAGCACAGGTCTTAGATTTGAAATCCAGCCATGCCATGCCACAGTGAAACCCCAACCAACTCCTGGTCACTGGGCCAATGGAACTAAGCTAAGAGGCTGATTACAATTACCACCCTCTCCTAATTCCAGGCAGCAGAGCACAGAGCAAGATACCACCTGCTGGGGAACAGGGCAAGGCCAAGACAGAGTTAAACTCAAGTTCTACATGGGCTGCATTAAGACCTCACCTATGAATAATTATGTGGAATATAAGTGGATTAAATATTCCAAGTAAAAGACAGCATAATTGACTAGATTAAGAACCCATATAACCCCAAACCCAAACTTAATATGTGATTTATAAGAAATGCATTTATCTCTAAGGACAAATATGAACTAAAAGTGAAGGGACTAATAAGATATCCCATGCAAATGGAATGCAGAAGAAATCAGGAGTAGCCATACTTATAGAAAACCAACTTTAGGGCCGGGCGTTGGTGGTGCACGCCTTTAATCCAAGCATTTGGGAGGCAGAGGCAGGCGGATCTCTGTGAGTTCTAGGCCAGCCTGGTCTCCAGAGCGAGTGCCAGGATAGGCTCCAAATCTCCACAGAGAAACCCTGTCTAGAACCGCCCCCCCCAAAAAAAACCAAAAAAAAAAAGAAAACAACTTTAGAAGAAAAATTGTAGAGAGAGTAGAATTTAATCAAAGCAACAGGCACAGAGAATAAACCATTTCACTGTGCTTTAAGGAACTAGGAAAACAACAAACCAAACTCCAAATTAGGGGAAAGAGTAAGAATCAAAACAAATAAATGACAAGGAGACCAATAAACCAATGAAGCTGTAACTCTCTGAAAAGATAAACAAATGAGACAATCCTCTTGGCTGGAATAAAAAGACTCAGAACCAGAAATGACACTACAAAATGACACCACAGAAATAAAGATCATCAGATTATTATGAATAGCTAAGTGCCAAAATATTGGTAATGAACAAATTCTAGATACAAGCACCTTGCCAAGACTGAGACACACATTTGCTCACACACAAAACAGCCCCAAAATTTAATGAAATTGAAACAGTAAAAAGTCTATCCTCAAAGAAAAGCCCAGTTAGCATATTCTATTCTGTCTCCTAGTTCCTGGAAGAAACATTTCAGTGTTTTTAGTCCACGTTTTTTGGTAATTCATTCCCCTTTCCTATGATTAGTATGTCAATGTTGCCTTTAATCACACTACCTTGATAGAAATTGCATAGCATACCCTAACTGGTCCAAGGCATGTAGGAGGAGAGCAATCAGAGTCTAGATGTGACAAGTGAACTGGTATGATGGGGGAGGTCCTTCTGCATGCTGTGAATATATATTCCTCTTATTGGCTGATGAATAAATGCTGGTTGGCCAGTAGCCAGGCAGGATATACAGGCAGGGCTACCAGACTAGGAGAATTCTGGGAAGAGGAAAGGCAGAGAAGCAGTCACCAGAGGGAGACGCCATGTAGCAGGCAAAGGAGTAACAAGAGTATTACAGGTAAGCCACAGCCTCATGAAAATACATAGTTTAATAGAAAGGGGTAAATAATAAAAAGAGCATTAGCCAATAAGAAGCCTGAGCTATCGGCCAAACAATTTATAATTAATATAAGCCTCTGTGTGTTTATTTGGTGGCTGTGGGACCAGATGGACAGAAACCTCTGTCCACACTGGTTATAATTAATATAAGCCTCTGTGTGTTTATTTGGTGGCTGTGGGACCAGGTGGACAGAAACCTCTGTCCACACTGGTAGCTAGTCATATTTGATGGACAATATAAGAAGGCAGGAGGCACAGGGATGAAGTGAAAGGTCCAGTGCTCTTAAAATGAGTTACCCTAAACAGTACAATGCTTTATCAAGAACAGTGTCTTAGCTATGATTAATGTGATGTAAGTTCATAGGCTTCATTTTCTTATAATTGCCGTGATCCCCAAAGCATGTTCACTGCTCTCTAGTTTAGACCATTCCCATTTCAAAGAAACTGGGGTTAAATGACTTCCCACTAAGTTCTACTAGTGAGTGAGAGAGGAAATATTGAAACCTACCCTTTCTGACTACAGCCTTGGTTTCTTACTTGTTTTGTTACACCACTGCAACTGTGCAGTAAGGAAGTTAGCAATACAGAGTTAGTTACACTTTCTCTGCTGGAGTGGACAGATTAACACTAGAACAGAATGATTCTTGGTGTTTGTATGACAGTTAGCACTTAACAAAACATGCCAAAACCTGTAATTTCAGCTCTTAAGAGACCGAAGCAGGAAAATGGTGGGTTCTAGGATATCCTAGACTTTATATTGAGACCCTGTCTCAAAAAATGAAGAGCAATTTGATTTGAAAAGCCAGACTGTTGGATATATTGAAAAATGTTTGAAGAAAATATCATTAATTATATGTACTAAAGCTGTTAAAAACAAAAGCCCTAAACAAAATTTACCTGCTGCAAAACATGGCTTCAAAGTGAGATGCTTCTATGTGGTTTAAATAAAAGATTAATTATATTTACCCTAGCATCCTCTGGAGTCTTGAAGTTAATTATTTTTCCAAATTCTTTGGCATGGAATACAGATTTCACCCGTTCCTATAAACAGAATTCATAACTTCATTAAAAAGAAAACCCAATTGCTGAAATACAATAAAGAAATGACTTCTCCCCCTTACAGATGCTACAATTACATTGTCTCAGGGAAGCTATCCTGAGACAGAGCAGCATTCATAAAAAACAAATCAAAGAGTCAACTTTAGTGCACTATTAGAGAAATATAAATATCAAAACAGTCTGTTCTACATACCTTTGCTTCAATGCGCAATCTTCTTCCATGGACAATAAATGGCTCTTTGGTAAATTCATCAAAAGTATACTGCCATTCACATGTCAGCTGCCCAAATGTTCCTTTTGTTACAAACAACACACCACTAGGGGAAGGGGACGAAAGGATTCACTTTGAGAATTGAGGAACTTATGTCAACAACACAAGATTTATGTTTAGTTTTTATTTTTTGGCAAGCACACATGGAATAGTCATATAGATACTAAGTCATATTAAAATCTTATTTTTCAAAAAAAATGTAATGTGTATGTATGTGTACATGTGTGCAGGTCCCCAGAGAGGCCTGAAGAGGCCATGGAATCCCCTGGAACCAGAGTTATAGGTGACTGTGTGTAGACGGATGTTTCTATCTTACGGGGACCTGCAGCTGTCTAGTGTCTGGCTGGTGGCTCAGGCTTCTTATTGCCTAGCTCTCTCAATTATTAGCTGATAACTATTAATCTGTGTATCTCCATGTGGCCTTATCTTACCACAGAATGCCCAGGCATCCTATCTTCCTGGTAGCTACATGGCATCTCCTTGAGACTCACTCCCTATGTCCCTCTTCCCAGCATCTTCCTAGTCTGGTAGCCCTGCCTATACTTCCTGCTTGGCTATATCCTGTCTGTCCATTGGTTAAAACAGCTTTATTCATCAAGCAATAAGAGAAACATATATTCACAGCATACAAAAGGACATTCCTCTATCAACTGTGCACCAGCCCATATAGATGCTGGGAACTAAACTTGGATCTTCTCCAAGGACAGCAAGTATTCTTAACAGCCAAGCCATTCTATAGCCCCACAAAAAACCTTAATGAATTTAGAGCTTGAGGTATGGCTTAATGGTAAACTGATTCCCTAAAAAGTATGTGGCCATGACTTGATTCCCAGTACCACAAACATCAACAACAACAACAACAACAAAAACCCAAAAGAGACAAATTTAAGACAATAGAAACCATAAAAGTATCTGTTTTTTGAACACAATGGACCAAAATTAGAAACTAGTTAACAGAAAGATGAAAAAATGACAATACTCCCCAATGTTTGGAAACAAAGGCATTTCTAAAACAAGCTATGAGTTAAAGAATCTCAAATGGGAAAAACAACTGTAATAGTGTGAGAATGAAACTATAACATCTGTAGGATGTAGCTGAAGCAATGCTCAGTGGGAAATGTACAGCATGACCTATACTAGAAAAACTGAGCTGAAGTCATAATAAATAGAGCTCTTTTTAAGGAATGGTAAGCATTTACAGAACCAATTACCAGAAAATATTCAAGAACATGTAACATGTTACAATAATATACTTTGCACCCGCCACCAGAAAGAGGCTTTTCTAACAACACTGAACAGAATCAACATATTGAAAATCTTTGGGGGTTTCCAGGGAAAAATCAAGTCCTGTCATTGTCAAAATCAGAGAGAAATTAAAAAAATACAACATCTGCGGCTTCATAGGGGGAAATAAGAAAAATGCATTTCATCTATGATTCTACTTAATCCTTCATTCAAAGGCCATTTCCCCACAGATGCTCTTTGTAGTTGAGACACCAATTTTAAACTGATAGCACACACTTTCAGAAACTGATTTATAAATGGCATGTGGCTGAGACACAAGCCAGAAAGGCCCTTGCTCTCAGTCATGTACACCAGTCTGAGATTGCTGGAGATGCTGAAAAACACCCATTGGTCCTTAAGTCTACAGGCTTTTCTGAAGATGTCATAGCTGGGAGTATCTTGTCCTACTCACATTGGTGTACCCAGTTACGACAGTAAACTTCTGCATTCTTATGAAGAAATGCCATTACGAAGACTGCTGACTTCTGGAATAACCTGAGTGATATTTAGAGGGCAAAGTCTACCTGAGAGGTCAGCTCTACACAATTTCCATACCCCCCAAAAATAGCTGAAATACTAACTTATAATTCTGTTTATTTATGATTGTGTTTATCTACAAGCATACACAAAACTGAACTTAAACGTATGACCAGAATTTATAGCAATCAGTGTGGCTATATGGAAATGATGAACCTGTCACCCTTATCAATTATATTAGAGAAGGAAAAGAAGTTACCGTCTTGTTATCATGAACATATCTGTTTTATTGATCATGACATGGGTAAAATACTTGTATTTTGCAAATCTTCCATTTTCCATGACCTATAAAAAAGAATAATAAAATTGAAATATTCCATTTTATTATTCTCAAAAAATTTTGTAGTGGAGGCAAATCATTAACATTCTTAATATAGTAACTACACATACAAATTGAATTAAATATGCATGAAATTGTTGTTTATTTTCTTTGTAAAAGTGTTTATCACACTGATTTGAGATTACACAAATATAGAAATGACAGTTTTTAAGTAGTAGGCTTTTAGAAGATGTTAGCTTACATGTTCAAACTCAATCTACTAGGGATTAAAACATCCTAGACATTTTATCTTTGAATCCTATCACACTTGTACAGAAACATGTAAGTATACACATTTAAATGTAGGAATTACTAGGAAATAACAGGTTCCTTTCTGTTTTTAAAAATCATTTTGCCAGTCTCATAACTGACTAACAAAACATGAAGCAGAGTTTCTGGACAAACCCAAAGCCTACTAACAATGTGTAAGTTCACTTCCAGGACTGTTAACATTTGTTAACAATTCTTTGCTCTAGAAAATACAAATGTAACTATACATATAGTTATTATTTATTTCAACATTATTTTTTTAGGATGCAAGTACCTTGGATATTTAAAATAAAAGCAGACTATCTTTTGAAGGCAAGTAATGTAAAATTTGTGACTAAGAATACTAAAAAACGGTGCATATGAAGAATTTAGGAATCTGGAGTGGTGGCGCACACCTTTAATCCAGCACAATGGTGGCAGAAGCAGGTGATCTCTGTGAGATCGAGACTAGCCTGGTCTACAAAGTGAGATTCAGGACAGTCAGAGTTGTCACACAGAAGAACCGTGGCTTGAAAAACCCAAGGGGGGTGGGGAGAAAATTTAGGCATATTAGGAGCTATGGAGAGAAATTCCAAGAGATCTTAAATAGCTAAAAAACCCCTGCATCCTATGAAGCAACATTAAAAAAAAATCATTTAGTTTAGAAAAAACGTTGTGACTTCCTAAGCATCTTGGTGAATACTCTCCTCTTAGTCTTTTGTACCAAGATGAAGACTAGGAGGAGAGTATTCACCTTTATACCTTTATTGGCAAAGGAAGCAAATAAAACACCAGGAAGCAGGGTGAGGCAAACAGATTACTTTCATGGAAGTAACTGACATGCACATTTTTTAACTTCGAGATTATAAAATATTATGGAAAACATCTTTATTCTACATTGCAATATGTATAACAGTTAAACACAAAGTGAAGGGAAATAGTCACAGATTGAGAAGAACTTAGTGAGGATTATTAATTTATAAACTATGTAAGTATATTTGAAAACTTAGATGAAACAGATAAATGCAAGCCAAGAGAAAGCAGCATCAAATTTTACAGAGGAGGAGTAGAAGGTATTTTCAGATAGTAGTATATCTGAAAAACTTGGTAACTCATTTCAACATGGAAGGAAAATAAACCCTTTTCACAGTGGTAAAGAAAAATTATCTATTATGTACAACCTATCTGATAAAGCTACAAAGCTCTGAGATGAAGTTCTACTTTGCAATGCTGGCTGACCTCAAACTCCCAATTCTCCTGCCTCAGGTGTACCACCAAGCCCAGCAGTTATTTTATTGATGAAAAATTTGAAAGTGAAAATATACACATTATTTTTGGATATTATCACTCATTGTGAGGACCCCATGTACCTCTTTTCCTTCTTTTACTTATTCTTTCCCTTTCCTCTTTGTCTGGGCTTGGGCAGAGTACTGATGACAGCAGAAGTAGTTCATCTTACTATATACACTATACACACTTTAATTCAATTTGTCTTTCATCTGAAATAAATAAGCTTATGAAAGTGTTCTCCTCGTTTTTATGGCCAAATTCTGAAACCAAGAATACAAATACTGATTTTCTTCAGACCACAGTATAAAAGTCAAAAGTCTATACAGCTCATTAATAAAGTATAACCTTCAAAACACATAAAGCCAGTGTTCAGCTCCCAGTATCTTCCATGTCAGTCTCGAGACAGGGTATTGCAGTCGAATCTTTCATTGTTTTTCACTTAAGACAAAACAATTCTAAGCTGTGCCTGATAATTAAACCAATTTCAATAGTCACAACAGCATCTAATATAAGCAAGTCACAAATCTTTTACAAATGTAAATGGTGCAATGTTCTCTGTTAATTCTTCATATGCAACGTTGGAAAAAACAAATGGACATTCTGATAACAGTATGTTTCCAAACATAAACCATGTCCCTGTTATTACAGTTGATATCTCTGAATAAATAGTCACCATGCATTATAGCTTGACAGGTACTTTCATTATCAACCTGTGAAACTGAGTAAGCACGGTGTAGGCAGAGTCTAAAACTTTGAATCTAAAGTTGCAGAAGCATAGGAGAGAATTTGATAGGTTACTAACCACATTGCAGTCTAGAAATGCACTTTTAGTCACAATTTTCTGGCTCATTATTTGACTTTGTAAACACATTCTATATGAAGATTTATGCACTTCTAAATACCATCAAAACTCCGACTCTGACGAAAATGTAATTGTTCATCCAACACAATCTACATACTGAGGATCAGGTGTTTCACCCTCCACAGTTGTGTAGTGACATTACAGCTAACTGATTATCTTGAGATTAACCACAAACATGGCTTAGAACACTATGACTTTCTGGACCATTAATGCGTATTTTTCACTGTGACATGGCCCTTCTTAGAGTGTCAGTCACACTTTCTCTGTGCTACCTTAAAAATGTCTTTGATAAACCTGGCAGATGCCAGTTATGGAGGCAAGCTGTTAAGCAGTTGAATTTAGGTGACTATTTTAGATCAACAGGTCAAAATTCCACAACGTTTTTATTCTAAATATATCATAATTTTGAAAGTTTGCACTACACTAACTTCAGATACCATGTAAAATAAAAGAATGAGTACAATAAAGGTTAGGCATCAATATATGGAAGCTTTATACACCAAATATTTGGCTGAAGTACCAAGGACTTAACAATAACCAGTACCTTTAGGACATGTGACCCTTATTTTTATGTAGTGCAGTGATAAATGAAAAACAATTTTGCTTTATTCATTAATAGTATATATGAATTACTTATCATTAAGGGAGTTTATAAAAGAAATAGAAACAACTAAAACTGCATTCACTGTGTAAGAAACAATCTGTAGGCAACATTTCACATGGTTATTGGTAAACAGTTCCTGTCTGAATTTGGAAAAAGACAAGCTCCTATGGTACTTTACTAAACATAAATGAATAAATCTACTCCAAGTTAAAATATGATCAAAATACATGTCTCTCCTAGAACAGTGTTTCTTAGTTGTATGAGATTTGTGTTTTGGTTTTTAAATACACAACATGTGAGACAGGAATGGTGGCACATGCCTTTAATACCAACACTTGGAAAAATGGCAGGCAGAGGCAAGCAGATCTCCGTGAATTTGAGACCAGCCCAGTTTACACAGTGAGTTCTGGACACCAAGAACTACACAAAGAGACCCTGCCTTAAAAAACCTAAATAAGTAAATACATAATAAAGATAGTAACATGTGTAATTAAAATGAGCCAGGTGGTGTACATCTGTAATACTAGCACTTAAAAGGATGATGCACGTTAACCTGAGTTTCCTCACAAGTTCCAGCCTCTACTACATAGTAAGACTGTCCCAGGAAAGAATGGAGAGGGAGGGAGGGGAAGGAACAGGGAGAAAGACACAGGCAACTGGATGCTGTGCAGGAACTGTATCTTTTCAGAAAATTGGAGTAACTATTACAATTGTTAAGAATTATTAAGCATTTAGCAATTTAAAAAAGTTTTACTAAGTCATTTTAGTTGCAACTTAAATCCATGATTAAAGAAGGTATCAATCAAGCTTTGTAATGAACCATAGTAGGAGCAAAAACCTCAAAGCTCAGTGCTTTCTTACACAATGAACAGAAAGGCAAGGCAGTTAAAATGTCCAATCTTAATGCTTTGTCATTAGGTTTGAAGGGAAAGTATTTAAGCCCCATACCTTTGTCTATTCATATGCCATGAGCTATCCTGACTGCCAGCTGAAGCATAAACATAGGTATGGTGGCAGCTTATGTAAGAAAGCTGAGTATAACCCTATTCTATAAAATCAAGTGAAGAAGTTAAATCTCAGGAGATGTGAACTCTTTTCAACTAGTGCAGCCAAAAAAAGAGACTGGAGAAAGCAAAGAATTATGCTCCCAGCCGACTACTAGCCCACCTAACACAGTCTAAAAATAGTGTGTGTGCATGGATATAAAGAAGTGCAGTTACTAAAGAATTTCAAGCAGGACATCTACGCATCAGTATTTATCTATCCCTCCTATACATACTTGAAATAACAATAGCATTTCTCTTCCAATACTGTATAATAAGAAACAGTCCAAATGAGTTTATTGTTTCTATGTTCAACAATTAGTATGTAGAAATTATCATGGTATTATAACTATTCTACTAACCTTGAAAGGAAAGAAAAAGGATGAGATTTAATGATGCTTTTATCTTGGCAAAGAGGAGACAAATGAGGAATACATAGTTTATTAATGGTGGCCAAGAGCTAGCATAAATTGGTATTCATCTGGAATAATAAAAATACAATAGAGTTCTTATTAGGCATACTAATAATAATCACATCTACTATCTTACTTGTTTTAATCCTAACAACAATATCAAGACAAGTGAAACTACAAATTATATCCATTTTTGGAACAGAGGTCACACAGGCATCAAACGATTAAAGTTAGTAAAGTTAAAACTAAATTAAGGTTAAATGGTTCAAGAATCCAAGCCTTGACCCACAAGGTCTTGCTATATCTCAAGTAACAATTTTTAATATCAAAATGAGTAACCACAGCACTACAGTTAACCTTCCGTTTGTGGTTTCAGCACCCAGTCATCCTTGGGATTCTAAGTATTTTTTAAAAACTGCAATTATTTACAATGCACTTATATAGAATTTGGGATTATAAGTAATCTGCAGATGATTTAAAATATACAGGAGAATATAATTATACTCCATGTAAATACTTTGATATTACACATATGCATCTAGAGGTTTAGGTATCCCTGAGGGTCCTAGAACCAATCCCCTGTAGATATTGAGGGATGACTTTATGTATTTTACAGATATTACAGCAGATGCTATGGAATCTCATTTGGGCAATTCACTAAAATATAGCTTAGATACCCTACAAATTCAGAAAGGTCTCTTTAGTTTTGAGTTTGTAAGTATCTGGGAAAATTCTCTTGAGATGGGTACTTTTTGCTCAGTTCCTGTAGTTCTGTAGAGCCTTGCATTTCAGTGAGGAAGGGGGAGTGTGAGGGACCGTATGCTATAAAGCTAGCCTCTACCATGGTATGCACTTAATCCCTATCACTTAAATTATTAAGTTTATGAGGGATGAGTGAAACTTAACTACTGTCTTAAGCACTGTAACCCCAATTTCTTTCAAGGCAACAAAAGCAAAAAAACAAAACAAAACAAAACAAAAAACAACCAAAAACCAAAAACCAAAACCCTAAGATACTAGTAACAGGGATTCAACAAAGACAAACGAACAGCAATTAAAACCATGGTTTGTAGTTTAACATAAACCATGGCCCCAAATCAGGCTGAGAAAAATCCAATTATATGTAAGTAGCATCTTTTGTTTGTTTGTTTGAGAAAGTCTAAGATTCAGAGTAGCTTAGCAATTTAATCCAGAAAAGTTAATTTCACATGAAATATCCAGTCTCTCATCCTTGTATTGACTACACTACATCTCTAATGACAGTAACTGCCTCAGACATATTTAAGTGTGTATTTCTCAACAGTACTTCCAAAAGGTTCCTGTATGTGGTAGGTTGTTACATAATCCATTAGAATTATCAGAAGTGACTAAGACACCAGTACCACTTTGTAAAGTATCATTTGACTCTTAAAGACTTAACTGAAAAATAAAAAAAATGGTATTTCTTCTCACATATGAAAAAATTTGAAATGAATAAAAGAGGCCCATATAAAAATTATTTTATTCAGTAAACAAAAATACCTTTCATAATATTAGTGCTCTTATAACCAGAACACTGGTAGCTTCCCCCATGTGAGAATCTGTTCACAGAAACTAGGGAATAAAAGGCAAAGTTCTAGCAAGTAAATAGTGGCTTCATGGGCTGTAAACCTGGCCTCAAAATTTAGCACAATTAGCTTAATTAGAGCTGAAGATTTTCTAAACTAGCACTTACTCTAGTGTTTAACCTCTTCTGCTGTGTGTTTGTGTGTGTGTGTGTGTGTGTGTGTGTGTGTGTGTGTGTGTGTGTGTGTGTGTGTTATATTCATATTCTCCTTGGTTAAAAAAAAGAGGGTAAAGTTCAAATGGAGCCTATCTGAGCTTAATATTCAAGGGTCTAAAAATATGAATATGTACTGAATTTCTATTATAATGCTATTTACCTACTATTATATTTACAAATGTAACAACTGTAGTGGTAACAAATTTTAAAAATTATTTAGAAGTCAAATAGTCTTATTTTACTTTCTGGATTTAAAAAGGTAATTTTAATTAATAAATTTTCAATTAATATGAACAAAAGTGGAACAATTCCTAAGGAGAGCCATCACTTCAGAAGAAGACACAAATAACTTCAAAGTCTTGTTCAGAAAGTACTTTTTACCATCACTTGGTGTGACAAAGAATCTGCTAGAGTAGTAATCAGAATCCATCCAAGAGAGACAGTGCCCTTCCCACAAGCTCTGCTTTTTCTGAGGCACTATAAATTAAAATTTGCATATAAATAAATAAATGTGGCTATCTTCAGTTTTCTCCTTCCATTCAGAAGTATTTTTCTGGAGAGGGAAAGTTACAAAATGAAGAGTGGGAATTAAATAAGCTATGTCTCCTACTTCTTGTCCACTTACTCAAAACTTTAGATGAAGCCAGAAGAAGAGTGTCCAGTACTATTCTGTGGTCTGACTGCTATTTTTAAGCCCTTTTTTCCAGATAAACTGTCCTTCTCTTCCTGAAGTAAAATGAAAGACCACGATGCTGAAGGTAGTTATCCTCCATGGCTAGCAAGGCAGGGTTTGAAGCTAATTAAACACCTGTAATTTCTGAAAGAAAAGACAACAAACAAAAGCAGTCTCCCTCCTACAACTAGCACAATAGCAACTATTATAACTCTGTAAAGAATTCAAAGACAATATGGATCAAATTAAAAACACTTGAAATAGTAAAGAACATGCTATTGTCCTGGGACAACTCAGCTCTCAATGCTTATATACAATGGAACTCTCACAGGCACTCTCACAGATACAGTTCAGGAGATTTAATTTTAAGGGGAAGAAATTTTTTTTAGAACAAGAAATGTTAAAAGGTGAAAATACATTCAACGAAAAAGGAAAACAGAAATGTCAAATGGCCATTTGTGTCTTTAAGTATTAAGTCTAGGTGTTTCACATGTGGGAATTACACAATGAGTAGAATTTTTTTTTAATCTTTAGAAGTTAATAATCTTGCTTATAAAAGTTTGTAATATAAAAATTAAATAGAATTCATGCATCTAAATCATAACTCTATGAATAAAAATGTTAAAAAGGAAATAACCCATATATGGTTAAGAATACAAATGATAACCTTTTTCTGTCAATTCTTACTTTAGAAGTGTGTTCACATACTGTCTGGGGGAGGGACAAGTGCCATGGTGTGTGTGGAGACCAGAAGACACTTTCAAGGTATTGCTTTTGTCATTCTGCCTTGCTTAACACAGGTCTTTATGCCACCTTGTTGAGTCATGCCAGATTTGCACTGCTGTCTCTAGCTTTTCTGTGGGTTCTAGGTGTCTGTACTCAGGTTGCCAGCCTGTGCAACCAGCACCTTTACCCACTGAGCTATTTACCCATCCCCCAATTGTCTTTAATGAACAAAGATTATTTTAACAAATGTGAAAACATAATTTTTGAATGTTTCTATATCAATTATTAAATACAGTTTTACATCAGAATCAATGTTGGTGAAATCATTCATGAGCAGGACTTTGGGCTTTATAGGTTCAGTTACACATAAAGAACCTATTAATATAATTGAATCTCCTACCTACCAGCCTGGTATTTTTGAATCAAGAGTGAGTCCAGAGCTCATTCATTAGCCAGGCTGGCCTCCTGAGCGCTGTGACTACATAGGCTCTGATGCCTCTCACCTGGTTAGAGTCTCTAAGACTGAATATTCATAGAATTGGCAAGTTTTATTCAATATGGTAAGAAAATTTTTGTAGATATAATATAGGTAACAGATTATTGATAAATACAATTTATAATATGATTTTTAAAAACATACTATCTACTATTTTCTGGCTTAAATTTTGAACACCACATAAGATCCTCAAGAATGACATAGCTCAATTAAGAGAGATTCCTTGTTGTTATTTCACATTTATAATATGCATAAGTATTGAGAACTACATTAAAATCCAGTATTACAGAAGCATTATACATTTGCTGATATTGGAAGGCACACTACAGAGAATAATTGCTAAATATCCTCCACACCGACTTTACCATTACTGAGAAATAATCATGGATATGAAAATGCTTTACCACATTAAACTAAAACCATAAACTCATGACAACCATAAATTACTCTGTTTTCTATTTCAGACCTATTCTGACTCATGTACTTTATTATTATCTTTTGATTCAAAATTTCCTATGATGCTTTTTACTTCTTCATTCACTGAACTTAGATTAAATTAAGTGTACATGTTTTTAATTGACCTCATTTATTACAAAGGAGCTAGTTGAGAATCATGAATAAACCAGGCATTCTTCTTACATGATCATCATTACTTATCTAAATGTCTGTACTTGATAACATTTTATTTAAAACTCTTGGGTCTTTAATATTTGGAGGCTAGGATACATTCATTTCCAAGGAAATTTATAACAAAACTGAGATGCAGTTGAAGATGCAGCAGAAAAAGACTCAGTAACAGGGTAGCTGGTTTTGACCTTCTTTCCATTAGTATAACCAAGTTAAATATCGAATTTTTACCATATAATTTAAGTTAGACAAAATAGTAGCAATGATAGTAATATTCTTCAATGTACATGACTGAGACATAAATACAATATTTTCATATCATGTATGAAATGCCACAGTCAAAAGGCATCTACAAGGCTCTAGTTTGTACATTTTATAACATGACCTTAAAACAAACATCAATGAAAAATATTTTTAATGATTTCAAAAAAGCTAAAGTTTATTATTTGCTTGTGTGTGTGTGTCTACCTATGTGTTTCTGTGTAGGCCCAGGTACATGTATAGAAATCAGAGGACACACCATGTGGGTTCCAGTTATCAAACTTAGGTCATCAGGGTTGGCAGCAAGTGCCTTTAGTCACTAAGACATCTTGGCAGGTCCCAAGGCTGAAATTTATAAGGGTTTGACTAAATTAAGATTTATTTTGGTTTCTTGGTTCAAATGAATATTAAAGCTAATGCTATTCTGGATTTCTATTTATCTAACTATAACGTGAGTGCTAACTGATTTCGTTCAAAAGCTCTTAGAAATTTAGCCAATTACACATGATTATGATGCATGCAATTTTAGAATTTTTT